TTGATGACATAAATCTTGTTGGAACTCTAGAAGAGCTCCAAAAGGCAATTGAATATCTTAAGAAAGAATTTGAGATGAAAGATCTTGGAAAGACAAAACTTTGTCTTGATCTGCAAATTGAACATTTAGCAGACGAGATCTTTATCCATCAATCTGCCTATATATAAAGGGTCTTAAAACTTTTTTACATGGACAAAACGCACCAATTGAGTACACCAATAGTTGTTCGATCACTTGAAGTGAATAAAGATTTGTTCCGATCTCCAGAAGAGGATGAGGAACTCCTTGGTCCCGAAATACCTTATCTTAGTGCAATTGGTGCACTTATGTATCTTGCTAATGCTACAAGACCTGTCATAGTATTTTCTGTTAATTTACTAGCAAAAAATAGCTCTTCTCCTACACAGAGATATTGGAACGAGATTAAATATATATTGCGATATTTAAAGGGAACGCTTGATATGAGTTTATTTTATTCTAACAAAGGTAGCGCAGATCTTGTTGGTTATGCAGATGCAGGTTATTTATCTGATCCACATAAAGCTCGATCTCAAACCGGGTAGGTGTTTACATGTGGAGGTACTGTCATATCATGGCGCTCCACAAAGTAATCTATTGTTGCTACTTCTTCAAATCATGCTGAGATAATAGCTATTCATGAAGCAAGTAGGGAATGAGTGTGGTTGAGATCAATGATTCATTTTATTCAAGAAAAATGTGGTTTGGAATGTGATAAAAGATCCACAATTTTATACGAAGACAATGTTGCATGCATAACCCAATTAAAGGGAGGTTTTATAAAAGGAGATAGAACGAAGCACATTTCACCAAAATTATTCTACACACATGATCTTCAGAGGACATTGATGTGCAACAAATCCGTTCAAGTGACAATTCGGCAGATTTATTCACTAAATCTTTGCCAACTTCAACTTTTGAGAAGATGGTATACAAGATTGGAATGCGGAGACTCAAATATTTGAAATAAGATTTTTATCAGGGGGAGTAAGATACGCGCTATACTATTTTTTTCTTACTAAGGTTTTTCCTTATAAGAGTTTTAATGAGACAATTAGTTATGCGTATTACTAAATATGTGTACTCTTTTCCCTTCACTGAGATTTTTTTCCCCAGGGGTTTTTCATAGTAGGGTTTTAATGAGGCACATTATCTTTTAATGAACATTCAAGGGGGAGTGTTATAAATATATTATATTATGGATGTTCATTTAGTACTCCGTTGAAAATAAGCTTGCCAAAGAAGCTTATCTATATGAGACTCCGCCGTAAATATGTTTATCTATTTAGTACTTTATTGAAAATACGTCTCCTGAAGAAACTTATCCTTTCAGTACCCTGTTATGGATAAACATCACATCCGATAGAAGATTATCTATATCTGGTACAATGAGCTTATTCTTTCGGTACCCCATTATGGATAAACATTACCCCGATAGAAGATTATCTATATCTAGTATAATGAGCTTATCCTTTTGGGACTCCGTTATGGATAAATATTATCCCCGGTAGAAGATTATCTATATCTGATATAATGAGCTTATCCTTTCGGTATTCCGTTATGGATAAACATTACCACCGGTAGAAGATTATCTATATCTGGTATAATGAGCTTATCATTTCGGTACTCCCTTATGGATAAACATTACCACCGGTAGAAGATTATCTATATCTGGTATAATGAGCTTATCATTTCGGTACTCCCTTATGGATAAACATTACCCCGATAGAAGATTATCTATATTTGGTACAGAATCAGCTTACACAACAACTTGCTTTTTTCTATAAATAGAGGAGATTTCAGTTCATTATGTACATAAATTTAAAGTTTAAATAATATATAAGTTTCTCTCTATAATTGTCTTTACTTTACATCCTTTATTTCATAACACAAATCATTTAATATTTAAGCTAAATTCAGAGATCGATCCATTAAATGAAATTGATATTTTTTAAATTATGAGGAAAAAAATTACTAGTACAAGTTTTACATTATAATCGTGACATAATTTAGTTTGGGAACCAAACAAACTAATCAACATTAGTTGACGTAGAAGATGGTGCATAAAGATAGAGATATTATCTACTTCTCGGGGTTTTACCCTTTCTGATAAACCCTAACCATATCAACATCTCCAGCATTCATAGCTCTGCTCGAACCACACGAAGGTCAGTGTATCCTCTTCTTCTCTCTTTTCTCTCACACTGCTTTATCAAACATAATTGCTATCTAAATTCTGCTTAAAACCTTAGATTTCATGTTTTATAATCTGTTTCTTTTATAATTCTACCAAGAATTGGGACTCCTCATGGAACCCAAGTTTCTTCTTTCCACAGCATCAAAACCCTTTGCTTCAAATGGAGCTTTTCCTTTTGCCCTTTCCCATAAATCATCTTTTCTTCATAAAACTAGACTTTGTCCAATGACCCATCTGGCTATATCAGCAGAGCATTTAGGAATGACTCAAATTTTGGGCAGAAGTTTATCTTTTGGAGAAAGGAATGGATCATTGTGTAATTTAAGGAAATCCCAGGTAGAAAAGACTCCATTTTTGGGCAAAAGTTTATCTTTTAGAGAAAAGAATGAATCTTTATGCAATTTACGGAAAACCCAGGTGCCGAATTTTCCCATTAGAGCAGCTGGTGCTGTGAAGAGAAGGAAAGAGCTTCCTTTTGATAATGTGATTCAAAGGGACAAGAAGTTGAAATTGGTTATGAAGATTACAAAGATTCTAGTGAGTCAGCCTGATAGAATTATGTCGCTTCGCGAACTGGGTAGGTATAGAAGAGCATTGGGTCTGGAGAAAAAAAGGAGATTTATTGCTTTATTGGAGAAATTTCCTGGTGTGTTTGAGATTATGGAAGAAGGGGCTTACTCACTTAAGTTCAAAATGACTCCCGAGGCCGAGAGGCTTTACTTGGAGGAAATGAAGATTAGGAATGAAATGGAGGATTTGTTGGTTGTCAAGTTGAGGAAACTATTGATGATGTCTTTGGACAAGCGGATTCTGTTGGAGAAGATTGGACATCTCAAGACTGATTTAGGGCTTCCTTTAGAATTCCAGGATACAATCTGTAGGCGATATCCACAATACTTCAAGGTAGTTCCAACTGGACGAGGGCCGGCATTGGAGTTGACTCATTGGGACCCTGAGCTTGCTGTTTCTGCTGCACAGATCGCTGAAGAGGATACTAGGCAAAGAGAGCTGGAAGAGAAGAATTTGATCATCGATAGACCACCAAGGTTCAATCGGGTGAAGCTTCCTAAGGGTCTTAAACTTTCAAAGGGTGAGATGAGAAGGATTAGTCAGTTTAGAGACATTCCTTACATTTCTCCTTATGAGGATTTCTCTGAAATAAGGCCTGGTACTCCGGAGAAAGAGAAACACGCATGTGGTGTGGTTCATGAACTTCTGAGCCTCACAGTCGAGAAGAGGACTCTTGTTGATCACCTTACTCATTTTCGGGAAGAGTTTAAATTCTCTCAACAGCTTAGAGGCATGCTGATAAGGCATCCTGATATGTTCTATGTCTCTTTGAAAGGGGATCGGGACTCAGTTTTTCTCCGTGAAGCTTATCACGATTCACACTTGATAGAAAAGAACAGGTTATTGCTCATCAAGGAAAAGCTTCGCTCCCTTGTTTCAGTCACGAGATTCAACCGGAGAGGCACTCCACAAACTGATTCTGATGAAGCAGAAAAATCCGAGTCCAAATATGGAACTGATGCTGAGGAAGGTGAAGAGTGGTCTGACATTGATAACTTAGGGAGTGACGGATTTGATGACGATGATGATGGCGACGAAGATTTGGATGATGACTGGAGTGATGATGGTGATGATATACCTCCCGACTTCAGTGATGATGAAGGCACTGTTAACCTAGAAGATAGTAAACCGGCTACACAAGTTAATGGTGCAAAGAAGAAGGAAGAAAAGATTCTGGTTCCTGTTTTTCCAGATGGCCGCCCCAGGGAACGCTGGTGACAAATATAAACTTGTGCTTGAGATTATTTCATGCATGAAAGACATTGATAAAATATCTTAAGTTACAACTTCTGCTATTAGCCTATTACATGTGCACGAGGTTTAAAATCCCAGGGTAAAAGGCTGTTCCACTCTTTTAACACCCTGCGTGCACATTGCTTTCTCTTAATAGGCCTTGGCTAAGCATCTTTACATTAGATTTATGGTTCAATGTTGTCGTTAAGTTAAATATTTTATAGATTATACAGCTCCTATAAGCTTCTGCTGGAAGTGGCTTTGTGAATTGGTAGTTCTGCACTAATTTAAGCACTAAAGCTTTCATATTTCAGATTATTTGCCAGATTGTAAAATGTAGCTTCTTTACATAATACAACATGGTTTTCATAGCTTAGTGACTCACGATCTTTTGTGTGTTGTCATTTGAAACATATGAGCATTTAGCTAGTCTTGAAAACCCCTGCTTAGCTCAGTTGTCCTTAAGAGTTGATGGCATATATTTTCCCAAGGGCTTTGGTTCAATGACAAAAGTATTACTTGTCGCGACCCAAGCCCATGGCACATATTATTCGCTGTAGGCCTAGGCCTAGGCCTGCACGGATTTGTCTTTTTGGGCTACACCACCTCAAGCTCCAAAAGCGCGCGTACCATGTGAACTTGTGTCATGCCTTATATAGCTCTTCACTTTCCTCTTCGCCTAAGGTGACATGTGCACCCCTTCTTCAGAAGCTTGCCAGCCTAGAATCTTGCCAGTCCTGCTTGACCCGCCCTCATCAGCCCGCCCTCAGTCAGGGGCATCATATTACAGTGGGGGATTTGTGGTTGACGCATGTTATGAGTGCGAGTAGTGCTGTGAACCAAGTCTAGTGTTTAAGTGAGGAAGGGTAGAGGGGACGGACATTAATTAAATATTCAATGTTAGAAACAACCGAAATTTTGCTTGTAAAAAAAAAGAATTTATGGCATATATTCTTTTGCTAGCTCTTTGAAGTCATGTTGTGTTTGATTGTTCTGTGAGCAAAGGCTTGTAGAATAAATGTCCTCTTCCCTTGATCACCATCCTCGAGCCTAATCTAAGTATAGCTGCCACCTGTATCATTATTGTGTTAGTGGACTCTACTCAATACAATATCAAAGATACGGAATGCTTGAATTATCAATTATATAAGCCTAAGAGTGATTTAGTGGGTTCGAAAAGAATGACAAAATCAGTACTGCACTGTTTATTCCGTACTCTTGTCAGTATTGGTTTTGTATGCGCTGGCGGGTTCGGACACATGATTAAAGAAAATAAGATTGAGCTGTTTCTTTATTCAGAAAAAAAAGATAAAACTCGATATATCTTTCTTATATTTCTGTGGTAACAATTATGTAATCAGATAATGTAGCTTACTAATGTTGTTTGTCAATACCAATGTTTCTACTCTATTATTCTTGAGCAGCTTCACCACAATGTCCAAACTGTTACAGCCATTGTTTTATCATGAATATTGTCTGCCACCCATTAGATTACTCCGATCAAAAAAGCAAATCCATATCTCTGATTGGATCATTCTTTATTATCACACTTAACATGTGTCATTAGAAGATGGTAGGTCGATTTTTTCAACATGGAACCTAGCAGCCTAGTTGTTTATGGGAATATGGGGACCTCACACTTTGTTTTTTGATTCCAAACAAAGAAGATCATTTACTTTGTCATTTCTTTGATCCTTAACAGTGATTATTGTACAATTTGTTTTATAAAAGTTGCGTGTATAGACTAACGCAGAATTCATGTAGATAAGGTGATCCACGTCAATATATATGATCCTATTTTCTATGTAAAGCAACTTTGTCTAGAAAAGAATCTTTATGATCCTATTTTCTTAAAGTTAATCCCACCTTCCCAGTACTATCTGTTCAATTTAAAAATAGATGAGTAACTTTTAGTTATAGGCCAATGCAGGAGACGCGGCGTAACGGCTGGTTAAAGTTACAGGAAATGTTGAAAGGGCATGCTATGAGTTATTGAAAATGTTCAAATATACGCTAATTGGATACTTTTTTTGGTATAATCATTCGGTATTCAAAATTTACGGACCCGAGTAATTCGGTTCTGCGCACTGTGTAGGCGCCATTAAAGGGTGGAAGCACGCTCTCTACCAGGAGTTTCTCCATTCGAACACAAGATTTTTGATTAGGATGAAAGTCTATTGGATACTTACAACATCCTTATGTACATAAAATGAGATCATGTCACATGGCTGGGAATTCTCTTGCATCTAGGGAAATGATACCACTAAATTGTGAAGCCGCCGTTCACTATTTGTGCTTTTTTTGAGCTCCCGTGCTGTTATCAATGTTGAAGTTTCTCTATAATTGTACAAGTATTCGAAGATCGTGTTGAGAATTTTAGATATAAGCTTCCATTTTCGTTATCAATACTATTAAGATAAAGAACATAGAAGACTATCATCAACAAAAACACAGTCAGTGTAATCCCACAAGTGAGGTCTGAGAGGATAGAGTGTATGCACACCTTACCCCTGCCTTTAAAAAGACAGTGAGGGTGTTTCCGGTAGACCCTCGGTTCAGGAAGGGGAGAGGGGAGGGGCAATAACAAGCAAACCGATCTGACATCCAAAACAAAAATACAAAACTAGCAAAAAGTAATGCAATCAGAAACGAAAACACCCAGAAGCAAGAATTATTCGTCAGGGAATAGTTCGAATATGATGATAAAATAGAGAAGAGGATGAGATGCTTTTATTCTTTAATCACAAGGGGTTGACTTCTATCTCTAAGGAACAAAGATTATATGTAATCCATACTTTAATGGGGCTCTGTTATGAATCAAAAGAATCTGGTTTTGCCACTCATATCAAGAGCCAAGATATCAAAGGTCCCACAAATTTCTTTTTTTCCATTCTGTATCTTTTCTTGCCTATAAATAGGCTGCTCTTAAATCACTCAGTTTGCCAATCACATACATATTTAGCTCATACAATAAATTAACTCTTCAGGGCAGTTATTGTTGCCTCTCCCTCATGGGCTTCTCTCCTGCAATGTTTAGAGAGTATGATTTAAGGTTAAAGTAGAAAGCATGCAGCGAAAGAAGCTCGAGCGGGGAGAGTCAATAAGAAGTGTCTTGTTCAGTGCTCACAACTGGATTTAGAAACTATATTACTCTTAACAGGGCAGTCTTTGTTCACTCTCCCTCAAGGGCTTCTGGCTTAAAATGCCTTACTCTTTGGTTTGTGTTAGTGCCAGAGGTCTTTCGAGTGAGAGTGGATAAATTCTGCCATGATATATTGGTAGAATTCTGACTCAACAAAGGAGCAATTCTTCTCCCCTTGCCGCAAACAAAAGCATGGTATTTAAGTGGAGAAATGTCGAGAGGCTAGCCAATTATCCACCAGGTTCCGAAACCTACGCCATTGGCCTACTGGAATTTGTCAGTTATTAAAAAAAATACTAATGTTCTTCTTCTGATTAATTGATTCTATTTTTCGATGCAGTTTTGGTGGATCAACTGTACATCGGCTCAAAAATGCCTCTATGATCGCAAGAGAAGACAAATGAGTGATGTATTTTTCACCCTGATTATGATTCTAAGGCCTAAATTGAGTTGACCAGGGGCTGCTGTAATTTCGTCTGCATTAATTACCTTTGGCTTGAAATATGTATGTGTAGCCGAAAATTTTAAAGTACCCCTCATCACTAAGGAGTTGTAGGTGCAGTGATCCACTGACTTGAAATCTTGAATCGGCCTCTTGAAGTTGAGAAGTGGCTGGCTGTATTCTATATTCCTTTGTAATTATCAAACGTGCCCGAAAATTTTAAGATTCTGTCTCTGCAAGAAAACTTATTACTACTTGTGTTTTGGAGCTTGAAGTCACTCATAAGTGCTCAGTTGCCTTTTAATCAGATACGGCCTAAGGCTTAGCAAAAACGCTGACTGCAGAAACAGCTCAAAACTGCAATAAGAATGGGTAGACTGCGCTAATAATATGGATCATAGTAACCACATTTAAACATATTTGATCATAAGAAGTGCAGTAAACCAAGGATTGAACAACTAACGTTTGCAATCGCGGCGTAAAGAACCACTTCGCTAATAAAATCTCACTTGTAATGAATGCTAATTGGTCAAGTAAGAGCCTAACTGATGTTGCAGACAACTGTTTAGTTATTTACCATGACATTCTGTGCCTAAACCTACTCAATTTCAGATCAAATGCCTGCCAAAAGATATGAGAGATTATGCTCATTAAGACCATATTTAAAATAGCATAGAAATTAAGTGGTAAGTACTAACTTTTTTCAATTCTATTACAATTATCAATGATCGCTGGGAAAACTAATTGTGTAAAAATGGTATAAAGGCCATGAGATTCATTTGCGAATTGGAGAATCATGGATCAACATTTACACAAAGTAACCAATCTTGCCCGCTGAGATGCTGCATTTTGTATATATTCTGCTCCTTAAAAAGAACAAAGTTTCAGGGATCACCAAATTGACTGTGTTTGCAGTAGAGGCAAAACATTCTGAGTTTATAAATAGTATTATAGTAAAGATAAAGAATATTCGAAGGAAAAACAAAAAGAAGAGGAATATAATCAAAGATTGTTGTTCTTGTTCCTATGCAATTTACCCATCTCAAATCATTCCCACACCCGTCAAGGTTATCCAGGTTTCTGTTTCCTAGCCTTTCGGAAAAAATCCACTCCCCACTTATGGGATGACGCTAGGTATGTTGTTGTATCCTTGGGGGAAAAATCGTGCGGACTTGACTTAAAGCTATTTTAGCTCAACAATGCGGTTCGCCTTGTTCAAGTTTTCCTTTTTCGGGAAGTACCTTAAACAAATTATATTTAGAATTGGAAAGAAAACTGCCCTGAATAAAATGAAATGGGAGGATTCATATAGGTGGTCCAACTAATTTAGAATTACGGGGCAGTTGAATTATTGACTTAAGGAATAAATAAATGATGCACTCTGATCCTAGAACTATCATATGATCTATTTGTTGCGAAAACCGAATATATAAAGAGTGAGTAAATCACAACTACTATATTTAAAGGTAACTAATAAATAATAAATGAGATAATAAAAATAACACCAGAAGTTTATGAGGTTCGGCAAAATTTGAATTTCTGCCTAGTCCTCAGACATAATCAACTCAAATTTTATTTGACTTCAAAAATACAAGTGATATACTACAAGAGAGAAAGAAGTCTCAAATGCCTAAGAAGATAGGAAGACAAGTGAGAGGTGTTTACAAATGAACAAAACTCTTGCTATTTATAGAAGAGAAATGGCCTTAATAATGTCATGCATGACATC